TCCCTCCCACAGAGCAGCTGGTGAACTGTGACTGCCTTTGGCTTGTCAGCACGTCTCGACCACTAAGTCACCGGAGCTCATAATAAAATGTTGGTTTATGCCCTATAATTTGAGAGTCTGTTACGCAGCAAAAAAACAACTAGGAAAAGAGGTTGCTGTATGTGACGGAGGTTTGGCCTCCAATAAATACAAAGGCATTCTAGTAAATACACGGATATTTGTTGGCTTCCCCAGTGTGGGTCAGTTTCCAATAGCCAGCCCATGCCAAGTCCACAGGCAAAATTTCATTTCTGAACTTAAAAAGCTGAGAATCTCCATGTCCTCTTCATACTATGTAACTCAGATCAAGAAGTCTGGCGTCTCACAAAAGCTTGCAACCAGCTGTATCCACTCTTTGGTACCATTCACTCCCTTTTACCTGGTACATGGCATTTATTCATTTATCAAATGTTACTAAGAACCTCCCTTGTGTCCAGGACGGTGTCTGGTGCTGAGGGAAGGACATAGATACAACTCAACATTACTGTCAGGCACAGAAAGAACCACCGAGCCTTATCTCGTCGTTCCCACCGTTGACATCTTTTAAAGATATCAGTTTAGTCTAAATTAACCATTTCTTCACATTTCCTTTTTGCAGCTCTTTCAGTATTGCTGTATTGGGAAAGAGAAAGCTGGCACTTAAGGAGAAGTGCACGTTTACAGGCACCAATCCCCACGTTTCTTTCCTTCGTAAATCCTGCAATCCTCTAAGCCGTTTTCATTTCTTCATGCGATGATACTATTTTTGACAACTTAGGCTGCAGGGGATACAGTGGTGAGTTTCCCTTGTATCCATTCTCCTCCTTCCCCTTTTGAGGTGGCCATGTGGTTTGAATGGGAGGGATCCCACTTCAAGGGGCTTTAGGGGTGAGTCTGGTGGCCTAATGGAGAAGGAATGTCTCTGCCAATCCAAAGGCAGGTGGTTAGAATCCACCATCTGCTCCTAAGTAGAAGGACGGGCAATGCCTGACTGCCCTCCGCTATGACTCACAGGTTCTGCACACACACTGGAGGGGCAACTATGGGTGTTTCCAACTCAACGGCACACGACCACCACCTCATGGATCTACGCTCATTTGAGAACGCCCTGCTTCTTGGCCACTATGATCAGTTTGCTGCTGATGATTATGTCTAGTCAGTTCTGGGTCATGATGAACCCACGTATTAAAGAGCAGAACTGCTCCGTAGGGCTTTCTTGACTAGAGTCTTTATGGAACAAATTGTTGCTGCTGTTATGTGCTATCAAGTTGCTTGCGACTTATAGCAACCCTGTGTACAATAGCTCTGATCCCTGCTCTATCCTGTGCCAATTTTATTGTCTCTGACACACCTACTCCCATGACCCCAGTCACTGAATCAATCCATCTCTTACACTGTCCCTCCACCCTCCCAAACACGGCATCCCCCTCCTTGCAACATGTCCAAAGTATGTCAGCGGGAGCTTCAGAATCCTTGCCTGCAAGCAGCAGCCTGGTTTCACCCTCTCTAGAACAAACCTGTTTGTTTTCTTAGCAATCCATGGTATATTCAATACTCTTCTCCAGCACCACAGCTCAAAGGCATCAATTCTCCTTCTATCATGCCTAGTTATTGTCCAGCTTTCTGATGCACAGCAAGTAATTGTGAAGACTATGGCCTTGATCAGGCATACCTTAGTTTCCAGACTGATATCGCTGCTCTTAGGCCTCTTATTCTACACTTTCATACTGCTGGATAGGTTCAGATCATCAAGGTCTAGGTTAACAGCTGGGCACATACTGATTTAGCCACCTAAAACTGTTTTGGCCCCAGGCCAAGCTGGTCAGGCATGTCAGTCTTTCAAGCACAGCAACTGGGTCTGGAGCAGAGAAATGACTCCAGCTGACTGAACCACAGGGAAGCCCAAGACTTTTGCCCAGGCCTTGGAGAAAGAGATGGAGAGCTGTGTGGTCTCAGAGGAGAGCTGCCAGCAGCTGTCCTGGTGTCACAACAACAACTGCAAGGGAGCAGCACCAAGAGAGCTATAGGAAAATGAAGCTATCTATAGTGAGGAGCGCTGTTGGTGCAGTGGTCAAAGAGCTTGGCTGCTAACAAAGTGGTTAGTAGTTTGAATCTCCCAGTTGCTCTGTGAGAGAATGATGTGACAAGAATTCACAGCCTTGGAAACCCCGTGAGGCAATCTTGCTCTGTCCCATACAGTCATTATCAGTCAGAAGCAACCCCACTGCAAAGTGTAGGGGGTTTTCTTGGGGAGCCGCACTGGTGTCAAGAATTTCTAGCACAATATTACCCTGAGGGCAAGGGCTTTCCAGTCCTGTGCTTTATCGTTTAAGCGAGTGTGAGGGGCAGCCACACACATCTTACCGATACAATACACATGGAGGACACTGTGACCTTTAATAATTCACATCAGTCCCATACAGGGATCAAGCTGGAGAATCTCCTCTGGAAAGGCTGGAGTTCACGTGGTCCATGATCTGTGACGCAAGTACAAGAGGTAGCGAGTGCTGGCTGGTGGGCAAGGAGGTGAGGTGAAGGTAGGGGCAAATGTGCAAATATTAGTCCCTGATTTCATCTTTTCCTTTTCAAATGTGCCACATACATAACAGAATCTTTGCCATTTCAACGTTCCTCACACAGATATTGAACCTCTCCAGGATCAAATTACCTTCTGCTTTGACTTTCCCACCACCACCACCACCACCCCATAGTTAAGCGCATTTTCAGTAATGGTGAAATGAAGGCGAGTGTTTCTAGGTACTACAAACTTCCAATACAGCTATGTGGGACACAAGACATCCCACATAGACTCCGATGGCAGGATGGAGGAGAGGAGGCTCGTTTCTTCAGGTTCGCATAGTTATACAGGTCCTTGCCAGGAAGCAGCATGAACTATAACTGGAATGGGCAGCTTCTCAAGAAACCTGAGTGAGGAAAATGTTGTTGGGTGCTATGTTTCTCACAGGTCATGAAAGGGTTAATTTAGTTCCCATTGCCTCTTTAAGAGGTCATATGTTCCAGGCTTCCTCTGGCCTCAGACTCCTCCTCCTCCTAGAGCCCTCTCAAATGTCTCTGCTAGTTGCTGCACCTGAGATTATCCTGAACAAAATCTCCCAGCAAATCTCTCCTAAGAAAGGCTGGGAAATCCTCAGCCTCATTAGAGGGCAGCTCTCGGGCTCACATTTCTGGAGGATAAATCTGGCCAACAGATGTTTTAAAAGCTCTAGTTTCTGGCCTGAGAGGCGTTGGACCTACAAAGACTCTGGTTGCCCTTAATCACATTTGGGCGCACTGTTACCTGTTCAAAGTCCTGTTGACTTCTGGCACCTGGGTCCTTTTCTTCTTTGTCTCCAACTCCCCACTAGGCAGCGGGTGACTCAGATCTGTTTCTCGTTTCTTAATTCTTGAGATTGCCCAGTCCGAGCGCTTGACCCCCAGCCCTCTCTTGTGCAAGCTATACACTCCACAGCCTGAGCAGTGGCACACGTGCATGCGCGCACACACACACATATACACACGCCCAAGGGCTGCTCAGCCTCAGTCAGCAGCTGCTCAGTCCTGGCCCTCAACACTCTCCAGTCACTTCCAGCTGTGCCAACCTCCAGTGGGTTTCCAAGGCTCGACTTTCCAACAGGAGCACTCTGCATCTTTCTCCCGTGGAATTGCTGGAGGATTCAAACCACTGACGTTTTGTGTAGCAGCCCAACACATCAGGCACCATGACACCAAGCCTCCTTATTAGGAAGGCAGATCTCCCAGACTCCTTCGGTGAGTGTCCTTCGAGGTCACCAATTTATCCAACTTTAGTGCACATTGGGTTTACCGATTTCTGTTCTTTAATGAGCTCTGGTGGCCTAGTGGCAAGAAACTGCGCTGCAATCCCGAAGGCACATGATTCGAAGCCACCACCAGCTGCTCCGTGGGAGAAGGATAGGCAATCTCCTCTCGTGTGATTAACTGCCTCTGAAAACCCGCTGGAGGGCCAGCTATGGGTCGGTTCCGACTCGACAGTATAAACAACAACAATAACAATGCTCAAGGAGCTCTGGCGATGCAGTGGATTAATGCGAAGGTGGGCTAACTCAAAGCTCAGTGATTCGGAACCATCAGCCACTGCACAGGACAAATGTGGCAGTCTGCGTCTGCAAAGACGTACAGCCTTGAAACACCATGGGCTAGTTCTAACCTGTTCTATAAGGGCACTCTGAGTCAATATCGACATGACAGCAACAGGTTAGCATTGTGATTGATACACAGAGGCGGGAGCCCTGGTGGCGCAGTGGATAAGCGCCCTGAAGATAACCAAAAGGCGGGACAATTCAAACCCAACAGCTGCTCAGCCCGGGCCTGGCCCTGGGGATCGGCTGTGCAGAAACTGCAGCCTGAACCGCTAGGGGGCAGTATGCACGGGAATCGACTCAACGCTGAGTTTGGGTTTTCCTTTTGGTCTTGGACTTGGGTGATGGGTTGTTCATCTCTGTGCAATATAGGGATTCCACTGGAAAACCTTTCCTGCTGGAATTTAAACACACACACACACACACACACACTCGTGTCTTCTTTAACATGTATGATTTTGCTTTCCCTCCTTAAAAAGTGAGAACATTTCCCCCCCCCATCCCCTGGGGGAAATTTACCCAGCAAATAGCTATGAAATGCTTCATGATCCTGACTTTCACTTGGGAGAAGTCTCGGCCACTCTCAGCGTGGCAGTAAGCAGTGGTTACATAACATCTGGAAGCGTATACACTGCTGTTGTCCTTACTGCTTCCTCCTCGCCCAGCTTTTGTCCTAAGTCTACCTCTCCATCATTTCCGTTTGAAGGGCTCTTCGTGCACTTTGCACAGTCTCTCTAGAGATCTGTAATGCTTGTGAATGGGATCCAGAAGGTCCCGAGTTCGCTGCCCGTGTCCCCCACTTTCTTCCCCCCAACGCTCCGTGTCCCAGAACTCGCCCTATCCCCGGCCCTTGTCCCCGGGTACCTGCAGAGTGTGCAAGTTCAGCGCGTAGCCTTGTACCAGCAGCTGGAACAAGTAGCGCAGCTGCCCGGGGCCCCGCAGCTCTTCGGGGCTCCGCAGCTGCCGGTCGCCAGGCCTGGTCCCGCGAGCAGCGGCCGCACTGGCGGCGGGCAGGGCGGCGGGCAGCGCGGCTTTGGCCCTGGCCCCCGGTGGGCAGAGGCCACGGCCCAGCGCCCGCGCGCCCAGGAGAGCCCAGCGTATCCTGCAGCCGCCCAGTGCAGCCATGGACCCTGCTCGCGGCGCGCCCTAGGACAGGACTGGGGTGCGCTGGACCAGCCCCGGAAGCCACGGAGGAGGCAGGGCGGGATCAAGGGCCGGTGGGCGTTGGGGCGAGGCTTCTCATCATCGCTCCTTGCGGTTCTCACTCCCACCGGAGGACCCTAGAACACAGAGAAGCCCCTGCCCCAGCTGCAAATCCCCTACTCGGGAAAGGGCCAAGCCACCCAAAGGCTGGCGAACTGAGGGGCCCCACAGCGCCCTGACCAGGGAGGTGCTTCCCACCCACTCCATGGTCAGACTTTCTGTTAACTCTGGGGAACTTTTGGCTTAGGCCAGTGATGTCGTCGTGGCCAATGTCAGCCCCTAGAGTGTAGAGTCAAACTGGCAACTAACCAACTGAACAACTCAAATATGTCAGTGGTTTTAAAATGCCAATCCTCCTCAACCACCCCAAGTCTTACTAGGCGGGGTTTTTCCAATAAAGGATTAAACCAAGTTGATTGAGTTGTAAAAAACAAAACAAAACAAAACCCTAAAAAATAACAAATAAATGGAAACATTGCAAAAAGTATTGTTTTCTAAATCTTTTGGTTGAGATTTATGTATTCAAATAGGGAGCTCTGGTGTCCCGTCCCCCCCCCCCCTCACAAGAAGCTGCACTGCAATCCCAAAGGCAGCTGTTCGAGGCCATCAGCTGCTCAGCAGGATGGGCGATCTCCTCCTCTGCAAAAAAACCCAATCCCAAAGGGACTCAGTTCAAATCCACCAGATGCTCTGCTGGAGAAGGAGGGACAATCTCCTCCTATACCAGTCAGATCCCATTTGATGGTAAGCACACAAAAAATAATTTTTTAAAAATTTTAATCAATTATAAACACAGAGGTAAACACATATCTGCTATATGTTCCCTGGATCCTGTAGAAAACATGAGGTTATATCTTTGGCCACACACTCTCAGATTTAAGAGAAAATGCTATTGTAGATTAGGGAATGGACATTGTTCAAAAAGGAAAGTCGCTCGTGACAGTGATTACCGTGCAAAACTAGAAAAATCGATCAAGTTACCCAGCAGGCTGTTGTCATTGCGGTGAGCAATGAATGAAGGAAAGGTTATTGACAGGAGAATGAATGTACTTACTGAGCCTAGAAAGCAACTCTAGGAACCACGATGGTTTCCTGAAATACATGAAGGAAAATAATCAGGAAAAAAAAAAGAAGGAAGCCAAGAAGAAAGATTCAACTGAAGTGCCACCCTGCCCGACACAGAGAGGCACACTTTGTGAGGTCAGGGAAGGAGTCTGGTGTGCTGGAGCTGTTCTCCAAGTACAGGGCGTACTAGGTATAAAATGAAGACTTCTGGGATGTAAAAATGTGAAGGTTGATTTTGACTGTGTAGAAATGTTACATACTAAAGATGTAGCAAATTTTGTTTCCTAATTCACAGGGCAAGAAATGTTTTTCCTTTTTTTAAATTTTATTTTATTATTTTTTGTGTATACCATCAAATTGGATCTGAAGGAGGAGATTGCCCCTTCTTCTCCAGCAGAGTATCGGGTGGGGAAAGATGTTTTTAAGACTAAAATGTTGGTAGGTGCCATCAAGTCAGCTATGACACAGAGCCCTATGCTGTGTGCTATCCTGTCCCAGCCCCCCCCCCCCCACTTACCGGCTCTATGTAAATTCTCTGGTGGGGACTTCTCTTTCTTTCTCTGACCACCCACCTTTCCCAACAGAGTGACTTGTTTTAAGGACTATGCAGTGCTTGTGAAAAAATAAACAAATGAGACACATGTAGATGATAGCATTTTTCACTCATAAGATTAGAGAAGAACACTTCGTACCATTCTATAGTTGGAGAGGGTAAAGTTCTCAAACATGGTTAAAGGGATTGTGAATTATTATTACAGATTGTGAATTATTACAGAGCCTTCCAAATTGAAATCACACTTACCTGTTGCACCAGCAATGTTCTAGGAATTCATTCTACAAATGAACTTGCACATTTGCAAAATTACAGATACACAGATTGGAGGAGTGCAGTAGTTTGTGCAGGTAAAAGGAAATATAAACAATACACAAAGTCTGTCACTAGGACTAATGGAATAAATCCTCATTTATGGGAGTGTATGCACCTCTGAACAGCAATGAAAACTTCAAGGTGGTGGCAGGCTAGCACATTAATACATGGTTTTTTGTTTCGATAAGATAGCTCAGGTGGTACACACAAGAAACCTGTCACAATCATTGCCTCTGGGACAAAAGTGGCAGCTAGATTCTTATTCTATTTATTACTAAAAAACACCACAAGGTCTTTTGGGATTTAAATTTTGTAACTGAAATATGTAATTGCTAGTTCAAGTTAAATGGTTTATTCCAAAGTCCTGTTAGTTGAGTCATTTTCTTTTGAACTTCCCGAAAACTGGCTTGTTTAAGTGACAACTAGTTGTCCATTAACTTGTTTAGCCAGGTCCTCACCAGAGCCATGAACTTTCAGTAACATCAGTTTAAACACAACCTGAAACATGTTGCCATTGAGATGCTTTTGACGCAGGCAACCCCACGTGTTATGGGAGAATGCTGTTTCTAGGGGTTCTCTCAACTGAAACCTAAGTCGCTAGCCTTTTTTGCAGCAACACTGGGTGCATTCCAACCCTGAACCTCTAGCTTAGCAATGAATTGTGTGCACCACCCAAGGACCTTGTGGCATCCAGAACCATGGAAAGATCACGGAATCCATCTTATCTGTTCCTTTCCCCCCTCCTTTCATCTCTCCCTTTTTTCTTCTTTTGAGTGGGAGCCATATAGGGAGAAGTGTGTTGGGTGAAACATGTAGGTGGGGATATTTGTGAATTAAGTCCAAGGACAAACAATGTGCATAAAAATTTATTTGAAGTTTGAGAGTACAGAAGTCAGCAAAATGTAGTCTAAGTTGTCATTTCAATAATTCACATATCTTTTATGCTTTTGAAAATTAAAACAAAACTTTCTACACCACCTGAAAGTGGATAATTTGTTTGCATTACAATGCAGAAAATTATTTTATTAGTGTGTGTGTGTGTGTGTGTGTGTGTGCCCCTTCAAATTGGATCTGACTGGTACAGGAGGAGACTGTCCCTCCTTCTCCAGCAGAGCATCTGGTGGATTTGAACTGTGTACCTCTGGGATTGCAGTGCAGCTTCTTGCTACTAAGCCACAAGAGCTTCTAAATTCTTTTTTAAAATTAAAAATCATCTATAACCTCGTCACTTGAAAAAAAATTATATAAGAGGGGTGGGGGAAGACAGACTCTTCCTCTGTTCCTATAAATGCACATCATCAAAACGAAGCACTGTTAACAGGCCAGTGTAGGCTTCCAGATCTTCTATTTGTAGATAAACTTTTTTTACCTGCAAATGAAAAAAATCATTTGCCACTCTAATAGCTGAGTGTTATTAAAAGACCATTTTTAAAACAGCACATACGCTTATCGAGCATTTCCGTCTAGTCTGTAAATTCCTTCATCACAGTTTTTGGTCATTTCTCCCCACCCCACCCCCCATTGATAGTCTTTTCTTACTGTTTCATTGGTACTCTTTATATTTTGGGAAATGAAGCCTTTGGGTTTTTTTTTTAATCTTTTTAAAAATTTATTATTAATTTCAGTGAAAATTTACAGAGACTTTGGATTTCCATTCACCCCCAAGGTCAGTCCTGTTTTATAACAGTGGCACCATGCACTATTTGTCTTTTTGTGACTGAGATACTTCACTCAGAATAATGTCCTCCAGGGTCATCCATTTTGAATAATATTGCATGAGTTCCTTGTTTTTCAATGCAACGGAGTATTCTATTGTGTGAATATACCACAGCTTTTCTATCCATTTGTTTGTTGATGGGCACTTAGGTTGTTTCCAACTCCTTGCTATTGTGAACAAAGCCGCAATAAACATGGGTGTGCATATATCTGCTTGGATGTCAGTTATGGTCTCTTTGGGGTATTCCAGTAGTGGAATTGTTGGGTCAAATGGTATCTCTATTTGCAACTTTTTGAGAAAGCGCCATACCGCCTTCCACAGTGGTTGCGCCATTTTACACTCCCACCAACAGTGACTAAGGGTTCCAGTTTCTCCACAACTTCACAAGCATTTGTTGCTTGCTGTTCTATTAAATTTTGCTATTCTGTCTGGGGTGAGATGATATCTCATAGTTGTTTTGATTTCCATCTCTTAGAGCTAGGGATTTTGAACATTTCTTCATGTGCTTGTTAGCCATCTGAATGTCTTCTTTGGTGAAGTGGAAATGAAGCCTTTGTTTTGTATACTTTCTCTTGGTAGAAAGCCAAGTATTTTTTCTCACTAGTCTGTCCCCTATCTCATGTGTGTGTGTTTATACACATAAATATACATCAAGAAACCTACTGCCATCAAATTGATGCCAATTCTTTGTGACCATCCGTCATCAGGTTCCCAAAGCTGCAAATCTTGAAAGGAGACTCTCTACGTCCCTTCCTCACAGTGATTGTAGGGCTGTAACCACCAACCTCTTACTCGGCAGCCACACGGTTACAGACCATGCCCCCAGGGCTTCTTTATATCCACATATTATTCATAAGATGCGGAGCCTTAGTTTGGGAGTCTCATTGGAACCTGAGTTTCAGTTGATGGTCACACACAGACAGAAGGAATAGTCATCCAATCCTAAGGGGTGGTGAATGAGGGTCCTCCAGTTCCTGTTTTCCGTGCAGTATCCCCATGAACCCATGAACATGGCAGCAAGGATACTAGAATGATTGATTTCTCTGCCGGCTGACTTGTAAAGTAAGGACTGGCCTCTAGACTAATGACGTTTTTTCCCCTAACTGCTGCAACCTATCCTGAACCAAGAACATTCACACCCAAAATCAGTAGATCCAGTATCAATTGTTTTGATGACGAGTAAACAAGCCCCTTTGATTCCTCGTACTGCTTGGAGGCATGTGGGCTTCACAGAAGAGCTGCATTAACTTTATGCCTGCACTACCAATTAAC